GTGGTGGTGGTAGAGGTGAAGGTAGTGGTAGAGGTGGTGGTGATGGTGGAGATGGTGGTAGAGGTGGTGATGGGGTAGAGGTGGTGGTGGCAGAGGTGAAGGTAGTGGTAGAGGTGGTGGTGCTGGTGGAGGTGCTGGTAGAGGTGCTGGTGGTGGCAGCTCACCCGGGGTCCCGCCAGTGCCTTGATGGCCTCGGCCTCGGCGTCGCTGACGAAGTCGTGGTACAGGGCGACGAAGGGCCGCAGCCCGAGCGTCTCCCGCTTGGCCGGCTGCAGGAGCAGCAGGGGGCTGCCGTTGGTGTGGTAGGTGCAGCGCAGGCCGGGCGCCGGCGGCCGCGGTGGCCCGCGCGTCCCCCGGCAGAGCTCCTCGTAGGCGCCGTGCGGGCGGCTCCGCGGCCGACGTGGCTCCGCCGGGCCCCGCTCCTCCAGCAGCTTCTCGTACTGCACCACGTTCCGGGACACCCTGGCGTTGTCGGGGTCTGGTGGGGACGTGGGGTGGGGGACGTGGCCATGGGGACCTACCATGGGTCTCCTGGCCCTTCTAGCACGGTGGGACCCTACCGTAGCGCAGGAGCTCCCGGGAGAGGCTCAAGGCGTGCGAGACATTGCCCACCTGCAAGGAGATGCGGGGAGATCTGAGCCTTGTCCCACTGGGGTGACATCCCCGTGGGAGCCCCTGGTGATGGTGGCGAGGATGACCTGGGAATCAAGCTGAACTCCAACCCCTGGGAAGCACCTGGGCATGGAGGTGACACGGACATACCATGAAGTAGGAGAAGGCCAAGTGGTCTAGGGCGTCCTCCAAACTGGCCYGGTCCTCCTCATTCCAGCTCCCGTAGGAGAGGCGGAAGAGGTCAACGGCCTCCTCCAGCCACGCGATGGAGCGGTGGTGATCGCCCATGTCGTAGGCCACCTGCGAGGCTCTGTGCCGCTCCGAGCTCCGCCAGGACGGGCCTGGCCTCCATCCCATCCCATCCCATCCCATCCCATCCCATCCCATCCCATCCCATCCCATCCCATCCCATCCCTCCTCATCCTGCCACCCATCCCACAGAACCATAGAAGGGTTGAGGATGGCAGGGACCTCTGGAGATGGTCTTGTCCAGCCACCACCTTAGGCCCAAGCAAGGACATCTACAGCACAAGACCATGTCCAGCTGGTTTTGGATATCTCCAACAAGGGAGACTCTGCTAGCTCTTTGCTCCTCCCATTCCCCCTCCACTTACCACCCATTCCATCCTAACCCACCTTGTTCCATCTCTATCTCCATCCCATCTCCATCCCCACCTTCATCCCCATCCCAACCCATCTCCACCTTCATCCCCATCCCATCCCCACCTTCATCTCCATCCCATAGCCATCTAAACTCATCCCATCACCATCCCATTCCTATTCCAGTCCCCATCCTATCTCCATCCTATCTCATCTCCATCCCCTCTTCCCCATCCAAACCCATCCTCATCTTCATCTCCATCCCAACCCATCCTGATGCCCCCCTTCATCTCCATCCCAACCCATCCCCTCCTATCCCCATCCTATCCCCATCCCCATCTTCATCCCCACCTTCATCCCCCACCCCATTTCCACCCCAACCCATCTCCATCCCCCCATCCCATCCCCATCCCATCCCCATCTTCATCTCCACCTTCATCTCCATCCCATCTCCATCCCCACCTCAACCCATCCCCATTCCACCTCCATCCCCATCCCAGCCCATCCAATCCCCACTCTGTCCTGTCCCCACCTCCTCCTCTCCCACCCTGAACCTCCCTCTCCAACACCCACTCCTGCCTCTGCAATGACCTCGGAGCAGGGAGGCCACCGGACTCCACCCTGCAACCTCAAAACCTCCTATGGAGCCCCCAGGCTCCTCCGCTCGCCCGGCCGCCCCTCACCTTGCCCACATGGAAGCAGTCATCGGCGGAGAGCCCCACGGGCTGCCCGGGCCGGTAGAGGGGCCCGTGGGCGCCCTCGAAGGCGCCCTTGGCCAAGGCCCTCACGCTGAGCGCGTAGACGTCCTGCAGCCGCAGGAGCGCCCGCGCCGCCCCCTCCAGGTCCCGCGGCCCCGGCAGCTCCGCCCGCAGCGCCTCGAATCCCCCCTGCAGCTCTGCGGGGCACCGGGGCCGTCAGCCGGAGCACCCGGATCGCCCCGCACCCTTCTCCGGCACCCCTATCCCCGTCACCCCTATCCCCGTCACCCCTAGCCCTATCAATCCTATCCCCGTCACCCCT